AGACTCAGCCTTGCTGAAGGCTTGCTATTGTCCTCCACTTGGCTACCCGGTCTCAGTTTACATTTGGTTTGGTCACAGTGGCTGTTGCTAAATGCAAAGCTGCTGCTCCCACTTGTACCACTCTTTATCCAAATATATGGAAGGCATTGGTTAATGACCCTGGAACACTGGATACCAACTTCGGCCAAGGTGAGAAGCCAGAGGGCAGAAACACTACTCTATATCATCTCAGAAGAGACCTGGGTGTTGGCTGTCTTAGTTCCTTGTTAACAAATCCGTGAGGAAGTATGGAATTTAGGAACCCCTTTGTAGTAACCAGTGTTGCAATGTCTCTTGGAATAGGATAGAATGTTCTTGGTAAGAGTCACTGTTTGGATCATCTATCTGTCATGTGGATCCAATGTTCTGCCTCGTAATCTTTGGAATGACTGGCACACCTGACCAATCCCTTCTAAAGGGCATCACCACCCCAGGCACCACCTCTCTGTGACTGAAAGAAACACAGAACTCGTAGAAGTACGTATGTTTACTCAACCAAAGGAAAAGGCAGACATTAATCATCAAAGGAGAAATGATTAGTGGTTCTCAAGAAATGGTTGCTGAGTACAATAAAATGATTAATCAGTGACCCATGCCAATCATGAATGTCAGAGTCAAGGGAACAATGGGCTAATGAGTTCACTTCTCAGCAAGGTAACAAATAGTATGTCCACACTCCTGGTAGACTCTTACTGAGCACTTTACCGTCAAGTCTGGGTTGACTTCAAGAATCCTTCCAAGTGGGGTGATTTAGGCAGTTTTCCAGTTGGTTTTTAACCCTTACTCTACCTGACCCTGCTTCTTACTGCAGACTTTTGTCTAGTCTGCCAGCCTTGCCCATCCATACAGGCAGCCCCTGACTTGCTCTGTTGGTTTCTGCCAGATCCCATCATCTCATGGAGCAGCTCGGTTCAGGCAACTCACCATGCTGGAAACCAAGTGTTGGAATGTGGACAAGGGGGCTCTCATTATTTGCTGCAGGATACTTGAAACAGAGGAACCACGAGAGCCCCTCCACCATGTACATGCCCAAGCAGAGGATTCTGGCTGTTGCACAGATGGCATCTCAGTTTGCAGGCTGTCCCCCGACCATGGCTGAGACTCAGAGGACTGCTGATCTCAGCTAGCAAGCAGCCTAGAGGTTGGGGGCTAGAGGCTGCAGGTCAGTAGCTCAGTGGTACCCTGAGGACCTGCACTCTTGGCCCTTGAGGTGTGTGCCTCAGGCATGACTCAAGGGATGAAGTTCTATTTGTATTTTTTTATCAAAAACTTTCCTAGAGATCAAAAGAACTTCTAAATTTGTTTTTATTTCCCAGCGATAACCCTGCCTGTGGCCACCTTAGTTTCAAGAGTTATAAGGGTGACAGCTTATCTTTTCCAGCTCTCAGAGGAAAAGGCCAGCCCAACAGCAGAGTTTGCTAAGGGTGCACAGCAGGACACAGAGACCAGATGCCTCAGGGGCCAGGGTGGTGGTGGACAGTAATTGTCTCCATTCTGCCTTGTTCCAGTCCCATGAGACTGTGTTGCTTTTCCTGTGCTAACTTCCACAAACACATTGAGGGCCTTCCAGTAAATCCTCCTTTCTTCATCTCTCTTTTTTTTTCCCTTCTTGAGATGGGGGTCTTGTTATGTTGCCTCTGCTGACCTTGAAGTCCTGGGTTCAAGCAATCTTCCTTTCTCAGCTTCCCTATGTGTGCCACTGTGCCTGTCCCTGTCCCATCTTAAGTGGCTTTTGCAGATTTGTTTCTGGCAATGTCATGTCATCTAGTATGCTTTCTCAACTGTGCACAAGCACATCTATGTTCTCGGACTTACACTCTCTGCTGTCCCACCTGAATTGAAAATGGAGCCTCCCGCCATGGCTCAGCAACTCACCTGGAACCCCTTTCCAGGAGCCACTCCTCTTCCTGCTTCCCTGGGCTCAGCCCACTTGCCCTTCCTTGCTCCTTTTGGACCATTCGCTCTGGGTCATTCAGTAACCCTAAGTCTGCCCTAGGCTGTCACCCTCTGTTTACCCAGTTCAGGGCACCCCCTCTTCTCTTCCTTTCCTCCAACCTGCCCCTTGCAAACGTGCTCATGCAAGGCTGGTGTGCAGGCCTCTTTCTCCGACAAGGTGTCTTTGGTTGCTCCTACCTGAAGGCAGTCATGCCTCCTGGGTCCTCAGGGCACCCTGAATGATGCTATGCTTATCATCTCCTGCCTGGGCTTGCCTTCGCTGCCTGCAGGATTCCAGGGGACATCTGTGTGAGGACAGGAAAGGGCCTGAGTTGGGGACAAAGCCTTGGACTGGAGACAGCCTTGCTTCTGGCGTTGGCTTCCAGGTGTCGGCTGGCTGCCCAGCATCAGGGGCTGCTTCTCCCTTTCGGGCAGAGCCCCGAGTGTGTTGGGACAAACACTGACCATGCAGGCCAGTGCTTCAGAGAGTGATCCTCATCCTTAGTCCTAGGGTGGGGAAGCAGCCTAGAGGGCCTTGACAGGGGGACACTGGCCATGTCTGGAGACACTTGTGATCGTCACAGTGTTCGTCAGCTATTTGTCATTAAACCAAGTACCTGCGATAATCAACTTACACAGGGAACAGGGTTATTTTGGCTCAGGTGTAGAGAGGTTCTGGTCATGGACAGCTGGTTCCAGGCTTTGGTGGCAGTACCTTCTGGTAGTGCATCTGAGGGAGCAAACACCCCCCCCCCCC